AGGGTTTAGGGTTTTTAAGGGTTTTAGGGCTTAGGGTGTCTTTTTTCACAAGTTAATTTTTTTTCCTTTCTACTCATAGTTAGAGTTAGATTAGGGTTGGAGGGTAGATATTTATGGTATGCTTATGGGCATTTATAGCATAGTTTAAGTATGATCAGGAGGGCGGAGGAACAGTACTACTTGGTGATGCAGGCTCCTAGAAAATATGTCAGGGTTTCGGCATTCACAGGTGACATCGCAGCACGGCGCGGTCAAAAGAACTGAATGAAGACACTAAGCATGGTTCCGGACAACATGGTGCGTGTGTGTGTGTGTGTGTGTGTTTCACGTTCACCTTTCATGTAGACCTCTGACCACCCGTCTCTTATTTCAGGGCCTTGCATTGAATGGCCTTGATATTGGGATCCTTTGAGGGAAACGTGTTAGCCAGGGGGACCCCGCGCCGGGTCATGGGGTTGAAGCCTGGGGATGAGGTAAATAACTGAGAAAGACGATGGAACCACCACAAAGCTTTATATCCTAGAACCCAGATAGGACCATCCCCCGAAAGGCAGCTTCAGAAAACGGAATGTTGTACTTTTAAAGGCACAAAACAGAAACAGTAACATCATAAACAGTAGCCGCGGTGCGCTTGCGCCGTGTCACGGCCAAGGAAGGCAGGCCAGTGGAACGCAAAACAGCGTCGCGTTGGGTCGCTGACCAGGCACTCCTTCTTCAGGGCAGGCTTTATTGAAGGGGTTATACAGTAGGATTTAGGATGTGCGGACTCGGGTTGAAAACTAAGGGGGTCTTGAGGAAACATTGAACTGGGAAGTTCGGCTGTAGGACCTGGAGTTTCCACGGCGACGACGACGAGTCCGACTACCTGCTTTGACGCGCAATCATTTGCTACGAGCAACAACAAGCTGACGGCTGACCACACGCTGGTCGCCATAGTTATACCACTACTACCCAGCAAAACCTAAAACCGTGAGCCTTGCTCGGAAGCCTAAGCCCCCCCAATGCTGTAAATATGAAGGCCTTGGGCTCGCAAACCCTTAAGCCCCAAACTCCAAAGAACCCTTTGAACACTGCGTAAACACAAGCTCAGCTTCCGCTTGGCTGGTGTGCTCATCGCCTGCAGATCGCGCCAAGCTTGTGGTTTTCAAGGGTGCATGCATGGCATCTTAAGGCTTGGAGTTTGTATGAACTTCCAGGGCGTGCAGGATTCTTGCTTTTGGACGTTCACTCACATTGTTGACGAGCGCTGGTCGAAAGTGGTGTAGGCGTAGGGCTCAGCTAGTGAGCTTAGCAAGCCTGAGAACCCCTGCGCCCAACCCCCAGAATCTAAATCCCTGCGTCGCCGCTCTCTGAGCTTCGTGTCTCAAGGCCCAGGCGTTCCTAGAGCTCACTGTGGTTATGAGATTATGCTTAAAACTACGGTTGAAATCAAACCACAAGTGTCAGGATAATCGCGATTTGTCTCTGAATCGTCTTGTATTCCATAGCCGTAGTTGAACATGTCGCGCGGGCATCTGGCATCAAGACCGCTTTGTAGATTAGCTTTGTGGCATGAGCGAACGCCGTTCAACTTATCTCCTCCCACAGATGCGACGGAAGGAGCACAACCGCTCCTATTCACACACAACAGGACAACCCAAACGACTGTACTGCCCAGCTAGAAAGCAAAGATCAACGAACCCAGCGCGAGCATCAGCAAACCCTTCGGCATCTCAAAGGGCCTTTGGTGCTGGTCTGTGGCTATGTTCTCATGCGCCAATGTAATCCTTAAAACCCCGTGCAAAAACTGCAAACGAAACACCCATGCCACATGGTGGTTCAGCCAGATACTGTCCCTACCAGTAGGACTTGGGACGCACTTTACGCAGCGCTGAATGAAAGACTCCTGCAAGCCATAATTAAACCCTCTGCTCCGTAGTGACACGCAGCCTAAACCCTTTCCTTAACCCCAAACCCTAAACTCTTAACCCTTAACCCTAAACTCTAAACCGGTGACAAGCAGCTCTTGTGGCGGAGCAGTCGCAACGGCTGAGGCTCTTCTGGCTCATCGCAGGGAGCCTCAGGCTTTGCGTTTTTCACGCTTCCGGGTTGTGGCCTGTGCCTTTTTACGTTTGGGGCGTCGGGCTTTTGGGGTTAACGGTTAAACGTTCAGGGAAGGTTGGATTCAGGGGTGTCGAGCTTCTTCGATGTAGGAGTTTATGCGCCACCATCTAATGGAAGGCTCGTGGCTTTCAGTGTCTCCGGCAGGGCTCTCAGTCTTAGACGGGTCCAGAGGGGCTGGTTCCTGAAGTCAGCTGCAACTTTGAGCTTGGGGCGTTGGACCCCCCTGAAGCAAAAGCCCGAAAAGCGCAACGCGCCAGACCCACCCAAAACCCTAAAAGCCAAGTCCACCTTGTAGCCCCAGACCTTCCAGGTTTTTTTTTTGGCTCCCGCGTGGCAGCATCCAAAGGAATTACAATAGCAGGTTAATTAAGACCCTGAATCGTACAACCCGAACAGTCCGAACCCCCGCCTGAGCTTGAAACCGCCGGAGAACGGTCAAACACGCAAAGTTAAACAGCTCACGGCTTGGAATTGACAGGGATAGTGCTTTAGGGCTATGAGGGTTCAGTGCTTGAAGGTTCACGCGTTGTTTTTTCTAGTTCTGCTGGGTTGTCCGGCTCAATTTCAGGCTTTCCACGGCTTGGGTGCAGAGCACAGGGTCAACCTCCACGCCTCGGAATTCCACAAATCCTCAGGGCCTCAAGCACTTAGTTAGGGTTTTCAGCACTCACACTTGGACATGCCTGGGCGAGGTTCCTGGTACTTAGGGTTTCGGGTTTAGAGCTTTGGGTTTAGGGTTTACACTTTCGGGATTTGGGATTCATCGAAGACGTTTAGGTCACTATACCCATTAGCAAGATTGGCTTGGCTCAATCCTCCGAGTCCTCCGGGCAGGGTCCGGCGATTTTGTTCCTCGCCCTTTTGAAGTATGGTGGCTCCTTGGCCAACCCCAATTACGCTCAAGAGCCCTATCCCTCAACCAAACACCGCCCCAAGCTCTTTAAATGCCCAGAAAAAACCCTAAAATCTACGGTACCCTACGTAGGCTTTGAGCTTGAGCCCTACACCCCAGTACAGTCTTGAGAGTGCCAGGGAACCCAAAGCATCAGGCTCGGAGGAGCCTTGAGGCAATGTTTGCTGATTGGGGGGCTTCCGAAAATAGGGGGACCCTAATATAGCACCCTAGATAATCGGATCCTTATTCTAAGGACCCCAAAATAAGGTACCCTTAGTTTCGGAAACTCCCATCTGTAGGGTTTAAGTTAGATTACACTCCAAACACCGAACCCTTGAGCCCGGATTATGGCTTAAGAGTGTTCATCACAACTTCCATGGATACCCGGCCTCCTCCTCCCCTGCTGTTTGTGATTGGCCCATAGCTCACTGGTGAAATCCAACGTTAATTAAGCCACCGCTTCCTCAAGCAGGGCTCTGGGGAAGAAGGCAAAAGAACAAACCTGAGACCGTTGATCAGAAGAAGTATAGTAAAACTCAGTGGACTTAGCATGCCTCGGGGAAGTCATCTTCTGACGACTGGTAAATGAGCAGCTGCAAGCATACCGTGGGCAACTTGGCCGTGATGAGCCTGGAACATGAGATCCCCAACGCTTGAGCCAAAGAGAAACAATCGACAAGACAGGCAATGGTGTTTCGGCACATGCATACCCTTCACGGACACAAACGCTAGGTGCACTCCTTCTTGAGCGAGGCTACCAGTACACCGTTGCAGTCAAGCCAAGGTACATGAAGTTGAGTTGGAAACGCCCGACGAGACACGATGCAACATTTTAAAAGGCATGCTGCAGTGGCACACAATGTACACAAACAGGAGGTAGCGTCATGCTGCGTTTCCCTCCTACAGGTCTGAGTGCCCTTCGTGAGCACGGTGCTCCCAGCCGGCCGCTTGCTGCAAGCCACCTGGCTGCAACTCCGGTTATTGAGCGCCGGGAGTCCAGCCTGTAGGCTTGACCCAAAGGGTCTAAGTACTTATATGGTAGATACTTTTGGGCCCAAGATATCTATTATCTGGGTACTTCGACCATTTGGGTATGCTCATTTAGGGCGCCGAAAGTTTCGGAAGAGCTGGGGCGCACTTCCTGTCCCGTCGAGGCAGAACCATGGCCAGAACCTATAAAGTCTGAACAGCTCCAAATGCCGAGCAAACATCGAATCAACAGCTTTACCATTGCTATACTCCTCTGACCCTTATCTTACCATTACCATTACCAATGCGCGCAGTCTGCCGATTCCGATTCATTACGATTACTGTACTACCTTAAGAACCCAAAACCTACTTTTTTTGTAGGGTCCCTATAGATCCCATATTAGGGTTTATACTAAGAACCTACAAAAACATGGGTTTTGGGTTCTTAAGGTATGTGGTTTTTGTTAGTTTGGACCTGAAAACCCTTGGACCTTCTGGGAGGCGGCCCCTGCAACGGACACCTTTGCATGACGGCAACAGGCCGAAGGAGTGGGGCTGGGGCTTCTGCAGGATACGAAGGCTTCAGGCCATGCTGATGAGGCTTGAAGGCTTCGTTCGTGAGAAGGGGGAGAGAAAGAGAGAGAGAGAGAGAGAGAGAAAGAGTGCGCGCGTGTGGGTGGGGGTGTTTGCGCTTGTGTGCGTGTGTCTTTGTGTCTGTGTGTGAGTGCGTGCGTGCGTGCGCACGTGTGTGTGTGTGTGTGTGCGTGTGTGCTCGCGTTATCGCAGAGTGCGGCTCTCTGTCTGTCTGTCTGTGCGCGTCGTGTCTGACTGCGCGTATGCGTGTGGTTGTGATAGTGTCATAAAAAGTCTGGCACCGAGGTGTAAGCAATGATGCGTGTCTGTTGGCAAACGCAAGCAGCTTGTGCAAGTTCAAAAGTCCTGGACTGGAAGCTTTCTGGTTCACCAAGACACAGAAGCGTTGAATAGCTTCAATGACATGTTTCGAAGCATGCCCAATGGCAACGACTGCTGACATCCAGAGAAATCTCGATTTACCGGCGCTGCTGTCGTGCTGGCAAGAGGCCCTTGGCATGACGAATGAACGGGAGACGCAGGGCTACCGTGATCCTCACGGCAAGATCTAAGGCACCGAAAGCCATAAACGACAAGAGGTAAACTATCCTCTCCACATCAGGTGCCGAATGCTCCAAGACTTCGACGGGGTCAGCTTTCCGGAGCAAGGTGCCGTGGATCACCCGGTAGGGCACGGCCTGGCAGAGGCTAGGAGATATTCAGCCTTCTGGGGACATCTTTTCCTAGTAATTACCTCCAGCTGTGCACTGTTTTGGGCTTCTTCACACTTTGTCCAGGCACCGGCCTCGGCCTGGCTGCCGTCTCAAATGCTTAAAACGGTTGTGCGGATTCTTCCAGATTGCAGGATTTAGTTGACTGAGTTTTCTTGTTGAGCTTCACATCCGTTGATCTTTCAGGTTTGGAGGCTCTGTAGACGTTCAGGCATAGAAGTTCATAGAAGCTAGAAAAGCAAGGGGGGGGGTCTCCCACTTAGCACCAAGCTTCATAAGCCCAAAACCCTAAACCATTTTACCCGGGCTTGAATACTGCCCTAAACCTGAACCCTAAACCCTAAACCCTAAAGCCCTCTTCCTCGCACAGGCCCAGCCTGTGTTTCCAAGTTGGCTCTGCGTCTCCCCCGAAGAACCAACCTCCTCTGGCAGCTTAATGTAGGGGCCTCAGTAATTAGTATATTAGTATAATATTAGTATAATAAGGAAATCTACCGGCAATTATGGTAATTATCTAGACTTCTATATTACTTTTTTTGCCTTCCACCTAGCTTTAGGGTTTAGGGTTTCGGGCTTAGAGTCGCAATCGGGCATGCCAGACAAGGACTGTGACACCAGTCTGGCCGCCTTCGCCTGATTTGCGGCTTGAAAAGTTCGAGATGTGAACTTAGCGCTTAGGCGTGACATCGGGGCCACGAGGGGGGCGGGGGAACGAACTTCTGTTGATTGTATACTCAGGACTGGACTCCGGGTCGGTGAGGCTACATGTCCCTCGATTTCGTATGATATTTTACTCATCTTATGAACTGCAAAGGCCTACTATCGATATGGAGCCACGGATTGATGGCATACGAAACAGCTTTTCGATCACGGGATGTAAGGACAATCCCGGAAGGACTTGAAGTTGCAATCCGCCGAGCGTGTCTGGGAAAAATTGGAAGTTGGTTTGGTCAGGGGGTTTTGAATGAGAGTAAGAATTCGCTGTCGTGAAGATGAGTGTGGTGTTGGTGATCTAATCATCACATCCCACAGATGGCCCAGTCTTGAAGATTCAGCATGTCGCCTGCCAAAGAGCCATAACTAATCGCAACACCAAGTGCCTCACAACACTGCCATGCGATGTACCTCTTAGAAGTAGCACTTGCGGTTTTTGCATCGACCCTGCCTGGTTTAAGCCCAGCTGCAGGCACTTGGGCTATTCGTCTATCCTCCGCTGGCCTGTCTTAGTACGACAGATCGCCTCCCCTGTACTGCTTGGTTTGTCCGGGACCGATCTATGTTTGGGGCTCCTACCCTCTCTGAAACGATTCTACTGGTCCGGAACAGCCGGGAACTGCTGCAGATGTTAAGCCGGCCGAGGATCTGTTGGACTCTGAAATCGGTAGCCCAAACATATTACAGTATGGTATTTAAGTTTGGGGCCGTTCAGGGTACCATGATTTGCCTTACTTGTCCCAAACGTTCTAGAAGGTATATACATATTCTATGTCTTGCTGGGAAAGCAATCTCAACCCCTGTCCTGCTCGAGATCTTCTTGCTGTCGCAATGAAGGCCCTTTGGATGCAAAGCCAAACATAGGCACGTGGTTCGTTTTTTGTGTGTCTGTAAAAATCCTTCAACACCCATTCGCCTATTGGCTTGGCCCAAACCGCACAAGCGATACAGGCACAAGTAGAAGATGAGATGACAAACATCGTGGCCTCATCTTCATACATTTACAACGACATTGACACACGAAGTGACAGGTTGGCTGTTGCATTGTAGGTTGATGCCACAGAGCCATAAGACACAAAGCAAGTAAGTTCTAGATTGGAAAATAATTCTAGTCTGGTCTCCGGGTCACAAGTGAGGGGGAGATTAGCTTCGAGTGTGAGCGCTGCAAAATAGTCGCAAAGAGCAGAAGGAGTGAACTTTATGGCACAACTGCAATGCCGCTACGGTTGCTGCACAAACAGAATTCATGAGTCTGTATGCAGAGACACATCAACCCAACAACTGCATTCCTGCTGCTACGCCTTGTTGTAAAATCACCTCTGATGGTTCTGATGCACAACTCACTCCAGCCACGAATCTGCGCCCGAGCAAAAAATGCGGACACCTTTTAAATGCCAGTGCCATCCGCAGCAGGTTGCTCACGTCTCTATCGTCGCAGCAGAAAGAAAAATGGCAGCATGCGGTCTGCAAAACGGTGGTCTTTTGGCCCTTGGCTGGAAGTTACTTCTGCATGAGCCTATTAGCCTTATTATTGGCCAGGAGAATGACAGGTGTTGTTGAGAACGTTTTACATATTCCTGCGGCTCTGAGAGCCTGACGGTTCCTCTGAAAGCTGAATAGACCCTCGAGTCTTCCAGCTCTATGGCAAAGTGAATCGTAGCACTGTAACTCCACGGTGTAAAGGTGACAAGCTGGATGTCTCTGGTTTCAACCTTCTCCCAGAGTCAGACTTTGCCATAAGGCCACCGGAATGGTCTACTAACCTTTAGGCTAGGAGCTTGCCAGAACGGCAGTGCCGACAGGCAGGGATTCCTGAAGTTGTCACAGGCCCAACTTCGTTTCCAACATGGACCCTCCTCTTGTGGAAGATGCCAAGTGCACGCATCAAAGGCAACACTTCTTCAACCTTCACACGAACAAAACGCCGCATCAGCTGCCAGGTGGTGATAGTGGGTTCGAAGCTCTGCCGTTGAAATCCCTGCCCCCTCTGCTCAGCGAGAGTATCGTGTTGCCAGTGTCGATCTCTACATGATCCCTCTGGCCTGGCAGAAGGCTCAGACTTCCCTTCAAATCTCCGGACATGTCAAGGCTGACCGCATAATGATTGGAAGACATACTGTGCCGAACAACCCCGAACCCTAAAGTCCTATGGTTGCATCTTTGG